AAGTTTGGGTTCTTGTTACTCGACAAACAATTAAAACAAAAGGAGGAGTCCGATCGAATGTGACATGGAAATGTAGGTCTATTGGTGCTTATTATGGAGAGCCATCATATTCTGCATCTATATCTAAAGATGGTAGTGTTATGGCAGTCTCGTTTAAAACAGCAATTACTATATGGGATGTTTTATCAAATAAGTTATTATTTTCACTTCCTGTTCCTTATGAACAACATGGTAAAGAATTTATACCTGTTGAAGTTCAATTTTTATCCAACTCACAATATATTCTCACTAAATCAAAACAAGGTGTTATTATATATGACCTTCTTTCTAGAAAGATTTATCAATCATTCCTTTGTACTCCAATTCTCATTGCTGCACATCGTACATTAAATTTATATTCATTTGTTAATAAAAATACTGGACATTGGGATGTTTTCTTAATGAAAATAGGAGAAATAAAACCAGTTGCTGTATGGAGAATAGACACAGAGATAACATCAATGGTATTTTACACAACAGTTACTGGACTTGAATATATTTGTGCAGTGACAAAGAATAGTGAAATCTATTCATTACCACTAGAAAATATGATTGGAAAAGATATACCTCAACCTTATACTGATACAAAAGTTCCTGAAAAGAAAGCTGCTATTACTCTTAAGAAAATTGAAATGGATGAATCAAATAATGAAACTAGAGTAGTAAAAATTGTGAGTGAATCAACATTAGATGGACTAGAAGCAAATATTTCTGATGTGAATAACATCTTCAACGTTATTGTTGATTGTCTTCTTAAATGATTGCTTTTTGAATGAATACCTTACCAAAATAAGGAATTGTATTCAATAGAAAATAAAGTCCAATAACCATAACACTGAGATATTTTATATCTTTTCTAACTCATAAATTCTAGTTTTATTTGTTTCTCTTTCATTTCTTTCAAAATAAACAAAGAGAAGTATTAATGCAAAATATCCTAATAGTTTTTATTTATTTGATATTAGTATTAAAGAAATGAATATTATTTTCATTTCTTCTATTTTTAATCTAATAATTATACAGATAAATATTGTTTTTGATAATATATTAGAAATAGAAATACTAGCCAATATTATAATTACATCAAACTTTAAGAGATTATAGATATTATATGAAAACAATGTTAGAAAAGTTAATTTATTTATTCCATAGGAAAATGTCTTTTTATTCATTTATCACTTTTACTTAATTTGTGCTTTTCTCGTTATTCTAATTTGACAAAGTTAACACGAAAGATATTGATATTAACTTTTATTGATTTTAATATAAATTGAAATAGATAAAATAAGAATTAAAAAGATAAAACGATAATAGCCCCTTTTAAACTTACCCTTTTACTACAATTAGTGGCTTTAACTTAAATACAATCCTTGATATTCCAGCTGACTGACATGTCTCTACTACCTCTTTTACATCTTTATAAGCATCATCAGCTTCCTCAGCAGCTAGTTTTGGATCAGTTATTCTTAGTTCAATGCCTTTTTTCTTCATTTCTTCAACAACACTATCAGAAGAAATATTTTTCATTGCATTTACTCTACTTATCTTACGTCCTGCTCCATGACAAGTCGATCCAAATGATTTTTTCATGCCTTCTTGTGTACCAACCAACATATAAGAACATGTACCCATACTTCCTCCAATGATTGCTGGTTGTCCAATAGGTTTATAGGCATCAGGAATAACTGGGTTTAAAGGGGCAAAAGCACGAGTTGCACCTTTTCTATGTACAATACATTTTATTTCTTTACCATCAACCAAATGACTTTCTTCTTTTGCAATATTATGACAAACATCATAAACTAAATGCATGTCTAAATCTTTTGGTGATTTTTGAAAAACTTGTTCAAATGTACAACGTACATGATAAGAAATCATTCCCCTGTTTGCAAAGGCATAATTTGCTGCTGCATTCATTGCTTTAAAATATTTTTGACCATTGTCAGATTGAAAAGGAACACCCGTTAATTGAATATCAACTTCATTTTTGTTACTTTGACTTACACACATATCAACAAAATCTTGACATACTTGATGACCTAATCCACGACTACCACAATGAATCATAATACATATTTGACCTATGTGTGAAATTCCCATTTGTTTAGCCGCTTCTTTATCCATAATTTCATCTACTCGCTGTATTTCTAGATAATGGTTCCCACTTCCTAATGTCCCAAGTTGATTTCTACCTCTTCCTCGTGCTTTCTGACTAACTAGATGGGGGTCAGAATTGATAATTCTACCATTTTCTTCACAATAAACTAAATCTTCTTTCCATGCTAAACCTTTTTTTACTAACCATTCCAAACCTTCATTCATAATTTCATTCATTTCCTTTTCTGTGAGTGTTTGTGTAGATGTTGTCCCAACTCCACTAGGGATATTCTTTTGAAGTGCGTCTGCAAGCTCTGCTAAATGAGGTTCAATGTCTTTGTCGTCTAAATTTGTTCGTAATAATCTTACACCACAGTTAATATCAAATCCAACTCCTCCTGGACAAATAACAGCATTAGGGTCATCTAATCGCATAGCAGCAACTCCTCCAATCGAAAATCCATAACCACTATGAGCGTCTGGCATAGCTAATGATTTAATAACTCCAGGTAATGTGGCAACATTTGCAGTTTGTCTTACACAAGATGAAAATGATGCACCAGGTTGTTCATTAAGTAATTCATTCATTAACAATTCAAATAAGTCTTCGTTACAAAACATCTCTGCATCATTTTTCATTCCATTAATAAATCCTTTTTTAATTATCAAAGATACATTTGTTCTTTCCAAATAAGGCTCACATTCTTTAGGTATTTGACATCCATGGAAATCAATTAACTCTTTCTTAATTGGTTGAATAGGTTGTATTATTCTTTTCTTGCCAGGTTTATATCCAGAAGACATTGAAATAAGATTTTTGAGTCTTTTTGGTTAAATAATAATAATAAATAATAATAAATAATAATATAATTATATAGTAAAATAAAAAGAGGTGTATTGATAACAAAACTAATAATTGAGAATAAATAATTACATGAGCATTACCCAACAAATACAAAATAATTTCCAAGTTGTAGACAAATTTCGTTTGTTAAAAAATTATTTGTCACTAGAAAAAATACTCAATAGGTAGATCAGGAAAAAGTTCAAAAATATACTGATATTCAAAAACAATTCAATTTTATTGAAACTCAATTAAAACTTGATGAAGAGGCATTAATGAAGTGTATTTCAGAAGGACAAATGAAGGAATACTCAGAAGAGATGAATGAAATATTAAATGAATATAAAGACAAAGTGCTTCACGCACGAAATGAATTAGATGTAACTATTGAAAAACATGGAAATGAAATGAAAAAAATGAATAATGTATTTAATGAAATGTCCTTAAAGAGTATGAGTGATTCTGAAAAGCTTGTTAATGACATTAACTCATTAACAAAAAAGTTATCACAACAAACTAATCAATCATTATCAAATGCTATTAAAATGACATCAACTGTTCAAACAAAACTTGATGCAATGACTAATACTAATTAAATGAATTAAAGTTCAACCTTTTGAAGATGTTCATCAAGGTGTTCATCTTTGTTAGATGTTTTAATCATTAGTTCGATCCAATCTTTCATTGCCTCAGGTGAATATGACATAGAATATTCAGGATAAATGTAATTATTATAGAATAAAAATAATGATGGATATCCTTTTAAGAAAGTTTGTTTATGACAATATGAGTGGTACAAATCACAATCGAGACGGGCTAGTCTAAAGTTTGGTTGATTATTATGAATAACACCAAATTGATTAAAACGAGGGATAAGTTTTTTACAATGAGGACAAGTTGGGTCATAAAACATAACGAATGTATAATTTTTTTCATTAACCATTTTTCTAAAAGTTTGAGATGATAATTCATAGATTCCATTTTTTAAATTGTCTTGAGATTGTTCATCATCAATTTCTTTTAAAATATCATCTATCTTTTTTGAATAAACAAGTAAAGAAATATAAAGAATAAGAACAATAATTGGTTTCATTGAAATGAATTTGTAGTTTTTAGTAAAACAAATTTTTCATAAAAAAATAAAAATAACAAAATTATTATCATCTCAAAATTCATAAAAAATTTCATGAACAGTACAGAATCAAAGAAAATGTTTGAAGTATTTGAACAACTTGCATCAGTTGCAGACTGGGAAACAATTAAAAATACTATTAAATCACAACAAGTTCCATTAAATTTATTTGGAGAAGTAATGTATCTCCTAGGTGTAGATGTAGGACAAGCATTTGGATATTCAATTATGAAATTATTATTTGAAGGAAAAGATTTAAGAGATATTGCTGAGTTTATATACAATGATTTATGTGATCAAGATATCTTTCATGTTAGTGAGTATTTAGGTGGATTTCAAAATACTCCTGAAGTTGAATGTAATATTGATGGTAAACCAGCAGAAAATTCTGCTATTTATGTCTTTGGAAATGATGCTGAAGGAGCAAAGAAATTATCATATGTTTTAACGTATCTTCAACACGAATATTCTTTAGGTTGGGATGATCTAATTATGGTTATTTCTACAGCATTAAGTAATTGGGGATTATTAAATCCATCTGATAAATTTTTACAACTCTTTTTACTTTATGTTTCAAAAGAACTTACTGTTGATGAAGTTTGTTAATTATTTCAATATAATTATAATTATTCTAATAGGTGAATTAATTATTACCTTATTTATAGGAAATTCAACTAATTGAAAAAATTATTGGAGTTTGCGATGAAGAAGAAAAAAAAGAATGGACATCATATAACAAAAAATTGGCTCAATTCTTCCAATTACTTACTCAGTCTTGGAATGATATTGATAAAAAACATTTCTTTAAAAATGGTCCAATTGTTTGGAAATGGGGAAATGATTCTATAAAACAACTTAATAAATTCTTTAAAATTAATTAATTACTTTTTTTATTATTTATTTAATTATTAATGGAATTTAAATCTATTTTTATTTATTTAAAATAAATAAAAATAGATTTTTAAAAAAATTATTTTCTTTAATTTATTTAATGAATATTATTATTTTAATCTTTTTCTAATGAATGGAAATAATTAATTTATCTTCTTTTTTTTATAGAAGTAAAATAATTTTAAAAATTTTACTCTTTTTAATATTAACAATAAGTAATAAATAAATTATGAAAATTGAATATTATAGTCAATAACTGTTAAAATAAAATAAAATCAATTAATTAAGTATTAATAGAAATAGATTCTATTCTTCCTGGCTCAGGGGAGACTAATCCCGTCCCTTCTTCTTCTTCTTCTAGTAGCTCTACGGAGTATGTTTGATTGTGATCTCCGCAGTATTCCATAACATCCATCATGTTTTTTATTACAATGTTTTTAATTTCTTTCTCGATGTCAATTTCAATTTTTAATTCTTTGATTAGTCTGATACTTTCTTTATTTATTAATTCATTTATTGAGATTACTACTCCATTTATTCTGACATATTTTAACTTTTCTATTTTCATTAGAATATTCTTTAATTCCTTATACTTATTTCTTTTCTTCATTTACACTCCATTAATATTGTGATCAGCCACAATAGTCATATCAAATAATAGACTAGTTTTATTCTTTTTATCTACTACATATATGTCTGGTATTTTGTGATATTGTCATTCACTTTTATGCATTATTTGTTTGTTCCATATCATTGTGATGTCTTTATATTTGAACACTGTTTCATATGGGGGTTTTTTATATTGTTTATTTCCTGTGTATTTTCTTATCAATCAATATTATTATGCCTATATTATCATGTTTTTCCATTTGTGATTTTTTATGACAAATACAAGATAGTAGAATGTGTTCTACTGTAGCTATCTTGTCTTTACAAAGTGTGTAGTATTTCAATCTTTCATTTTTCATTATTTTTGATTTTCTATACCCACAAAATATTACTCCATCTTGCATTTTAGTTAATTGGAGAAATGAATTTTTCTTAATATTGATTGACTTCCATGCTTTAACTGTAGTAGTTTTATCTACTCCTTTTGACTCAAACCATCTTCTGAAGTGTCCACTAATTTGATGACACTTCCATTTTTTGATGTATTTGTCATTAATTTTTTTTATTTCTACTACTACTTCTTTTTCTTTTTTCTTTTCTATCCCTTCATTTATTATTTCTTCTATTTTTGTTTCTGGGATTTTATGACCTAGGGCTTTTTTAATTCTATTCCATATTCCTTTCTTACTGTACCATCTCTCTAATATGTTATTTCCTATTTCACTTTCTCTGGTACAGTAGTACATTACTGTTCTTACTAATTCAATAACATATTCTTCATTTATGTTTATTAATCCTTCACCCATTTCTTCTAGAGGGACATATAACCTATCTTTGGAGTTTCACCATTGTATTTTGCCTTTCTTAAATATTTTCTTATCTCCAAATCAATTTTATCTAGGTCAGTGATTTTCCAATTTACAACTGATGCTGAATATCTGAAGATATTGATTACTTCAGTGTTTATTCTAGTAATATATCTTCTATTACTACTTTCATCAGTGTTTATTTCTTCCATCTTTTGATTCATTTTTTCTTTGATGGTTTTACAATTGAAAGTGTCATCAATTTCATCGGACTGCCATATTCCTAAGTATTTATACAAGTCCTCACATTCAATTACGTGGATGTTTTGCATTCAATTTGGTATTTCTTTAATGTTTTTTAATACCATTCCTGACTTTTTCTCATTCATTTCAATATATAACTTATTATTTCTTTAATTTCATTGTGGATTATTCCCATTTCTTCACTACTTTCTGTCATTATTCTCAAATCATCCATATATAATGTGTGATTTGTTTTTGGGAATTTCTCTTCGATGATTTGAGAAATTACATTCATCTGTATGATGAAGAGTAGAGGGGATAAGGAATCACCTTGTAAAATTCCTCTATTTAATTTAATACTACCTAGATATTCATTAAATTTATAACCGATGAATATCTTCCATCTAGTCATCATACTTTCAATAATGTCAATGATGATACCCTCTACATTAAAATATTTTAATGATTCAATTACCCATTCGTGGTTTACTGTGTCATATGCTTTCTTAATGTCATAATATGACTCATCATATTTTGGGTATTTCTCTTCTTCTTTCTGCTTTAACATATAACTATTAATTATTCCTTCTTTAGCAGCTAAAGATTGTAACTTACATCCCAATTGATTATTACTAATTTTCAATGATTCACAATTCATGTTAAGTCTTCTGTGAATCTTTTCTTTTAATATGGAGGTAAATACTTTCATAATTACATTTGTACAACTGATAGGACGATAATTAGTGACGTCGTTCCTATCACCTCCTTTGTGGATTAATAAAGTTCTTCCACTTACCATGTCTAATTTGATGTTTTGAATGAAGTTCAACCATTCATTAAAGATACTAAGAATGATTTCTCTTGATGATGACATTCTTTTCCAATAATACCCATATATAGTGTCTATTCATGGTGTTTTCCAGTTACTTATTCTCATTATACTTAAATTTAATTCATTTATTGTTATAATGACACTATCATAATTTCTATATCTTTCATTCCACGAGGTGATTTGTTTTATTTTCCAATTCTCTTTATTTAATATCACCTGTGTTTCATATAACATTTCCAATATTCTAAAGTAATATCGTTATTTGGGTATATTTCATTTTTTGGGTCTTTCTTCCTTATTCTAATTTTCTTGTTAGAATCAAACATGATTTTATTTGTATTGATTCTGATTATTTCATTTTTATTAAATTTAATTCTTTCTTTGATCATTGTCATCATATATTTTAGGTACTTTATTCTTTCTAGTGCTTTAACTTTTATTCATTCTTCTTCATTTTCATTTAATTTCATGATGCACTTTATTCTGTACATTTTCTTCCCTTGACCAAATCTTCTAGTCTATTGATTTTATTTAGGATTTCTTTTATTTCATCAAATTTATCTCCTATTATTTTATTTTGGAGATAGAGGTGCATAACCATTGAAATCCTCTTCATATCATCTTGCAGATCCTGCATTCTGCTTCCTGACCATATCCATCTATTATTAATTTCCATTATTAATCGGTCAGCTTCTTTTCTTTTCCAGTAGTAATTAATGTTTGCATATTTTTCTATTTTCATTTCTTTCACTTTATTGATGAGAATGTTAAAGTATTCTTCATCAATTTCTGTAGAGTTATTCTTTAATATGATGTTTTTTATTATTGAATTACACTCTACTCTTCCTTCTATTATATCATTTACTTTCATTTTAATGTATCGTTTAATGTTTTCTTTTATTTTATGTGACATTTTAATATATTTAATATATTCATTTTTATTATTGACATTGATGTTTATCACTTTTATTATACTTTCAATTTGTTCCCATCTTAATTTCTTATATAATTTCTTATTTAACCAATTAATTGCAAAACAATACAACACTTCAATTAAAATTCTATTTCTTTGTTTTGTTGTATTTCTTGTCTGATTATCATCTCTTGTTTTTTGACAATCAGTGCTTTGCTTTCTTCTTCGATTTCCACTACTGTCTTTTTCATAGGAGTAGTTTCGTTCATCTCCATTGTCCCTGATGATGTTTTCCTCAGTACTGGTTGTGTATTTATCACAAGTGTCATCGTTTTCTTCTTCTCTAGTTCCTTCTGTGAAATAAAATTTTCAATATCATCTTGTTGTTTTGATATTATTTGTTTTTGTGCTTCATTTTCTTTTTGTGTGTTGTTTAATTCTTCTCTTGTTATTTCTGCAATTTCTTGGTTTTTAATTACAATTTCTTGATATTCAGAGATTTGTTTTTCTTTATCTCTTATTTCTTTCTTTAATTCTTTAGTATTTTCCTCTATCATTTCAATTTTCTTCTCTAATGTGTTTGCATTTTGTTCTAGCATTTTGTTTCTCTTTTTCAACTTTTCAATTTCTTCTTTCATTCCTTCATTTTCTTTTTCCATCTTCTTTTTATTAGCTTGGATACAAGGGTTTTTTCTTCTTTATTATTTACTTCTGTGATTTTCTTTCCTTCTATCTCATTTATTTTTCCTTGTAGTTTTAAGTTTTCTTCTTCGAGTTTTTCATTTTCTTTCTTCATTTCTTCATAATTCGTTTGAATCTTTTTAATTTGTGTTTTCATTTCTTTAATTTCTTCTTCAAATTCTTTTCTAACTATTTCTTTTGCTTTTCTCATCATTTCTTCTGAGATGGCTTGATCTTCTTCCATTTTTTCCATACTGAATTCTTTAACTTTTTCTTTTAATTCAGTAATTTGATTTTTCAGAGCAATTATTTCTTCTTTATCTTTTTCTTCTTCTATCTTTTCTTCTTTATTTTCTATTTCTTCTTGTACTTTCTTTATACTTTCTGTTTCATTTATTATTCTTGCAATTTTACATATTTCATTCATTTCTTTAATTGGGTTTTTGTTTTTAATTTCTGCTTCTATAGCCTTAATGTCTTTTTCTTCCCAATCTTTTGTTTTTTCTTTAAACTCTTCTTTCGTCTTTTCAATTATCTTTTTCTTTTTGATTGAATATATTTCTTGAAGAATATCATACCATTTTTTCCTCTTACCTTCCTACTTTTTGAGTATTTCTTTATATTCTCCTTCATTCCATTCCATTGTTATTCTTTTTATTCTTTCTTGTATCTCATTTATTGTTAGCCATTTGTATTTGTTATTTGTATAATCTTTATTATTATTGTATTTACCTTGTTTTTTATTTGTTTTTCTTTGTGTCTTTCGTCTTCTAAACCCTTTTTCCTTGGTGTATCGTTTACCTTTATTATTATAATTGTTATGCCATTTATTGCTATTGACATTTCTTTTTTTATTGTATGACCTTGGATTTCTATGTTTTGTTTGCTTTTCTTTACAAGACTCTAAGGTTTTACACAATAGCCATGGCATTAAAATTTGTTGTATTTCCTGCATTGGAAAAGGATCTCCCGTCAATAACTGTTAAAATAAAAAAATAAAAAAAAAAGATATAATAACAAATTAATAATTTATTTTCTAATATAATAATTAAATATATAGTATAATAGCTATTATAATTTATTAATAGAAAAAGTTATTATATTAATAAAATTATAAATTAATTAATATATTAAAAAATTAGTTTTTTAATAAAAGAGTCATTTTTGAAAATAAATTAATAATAAATAAAACTATTCCAATAATAATGAAGAATCACTTCTACTTGCTAAAGACATAAAGATAACTTGAGTTAATATGAAAGCCGATGTTTTATTTATGACATGACTAATAAAAAACTTCTTTGTATAGAAGAAATAAAATTTAACATTATATAAAAAATTAAAACTGATTAAAAAAAAAAGAACTTGAATAATTATAAAAGGTTCAAAATGTTTTTTGCAACTCAACCTCAAAAAGATAATATTAAAAGTTATGTTTTGAACTTACAACAATACTATTGTGGAATTGAATTAACTGAATCTTCTCAATCAAAAAACCAATCAATTGAAGTAAAAATAAAACTTGATTCATCACTAAAACAAAACGTTATTTATTCATACACAGACTCAGTCAGAAACGTATCACTTAAATTTCATTTAACTGTCTTAGATCATCCTGACTTTTTTATTGACCCAGAAAATGATTCTAATTTAATGTGTACAAGAGAAATTAGTTTAGAAGATATAACAGCAAACAACATTTCGATTGATTATTTTGATGGACAAGTCTTAGATATTCCTCTTTCTCAACTTACCTCTGATCATTATATTTTCCCTTCACTTGGATTATTAAAACAACAAAATAGTGAAGAACGTGGTGATTTTATTGTTAAACTTAACATACCTAACTCAAATGTTTCTGAAGCTTTGATTCAATTTTTAAAAGATAATGATTTTCCTTATGACTGGATTGCTTCAATCCCTATACCAATACAAAACGATATTGAAAATGAAAATTTACACCTTTTAACATTACAAAATCTCTTATTAGAGAAAAAGAAATTCTTAGAAAATAAAGAACAACTTCTTCTTCAAATTCAAGGTTCACCTACAATAAATTAATATGTTAAATCAGTATTGGTTAAAATAATCATTTCCTTTTCATTTATAAAAAAGAATCTAATTCTGATGTTTCAATACTAATTTAAGGTATTATTTGATATGTTGCATTCAACATAACTTCTTTTTCAAATTCTATTGATTGACCATTTGAAATTACTTCTACAACCTCATTTCCAGTAAGAGTATGTTCATGAAGATATTCAACACAAATAGGGAATAGTTTTGATGTTTCTAATCCTTCTCCTGAAATTTCAATTTCTAATGAACCATTACTTCCAACATTAACATCTCCAATAATCCATTGAATTTTATCAGTAACCTCTAAACTACCATCAATACTAACTACAGTAATTGGTGCAAGATTTGGTATTTCAACAACAACACCTTTTAATTCTTGTGTTGCTTCATATGACATTGATAATGTTAATCCATTTTGTGCTTCTGCAGGCCAACATGTAAATGTTATTGGTAATGAAAATTCTTCTGCTTTATAATTCCATTTAACATAAACTGCTGGTGTATTAACTGCTAACTTTTTTCCTTCTTTTAATTTTAATATACGGTCAACAAATGCTTTTGGATCTACGTGTGGATGCATTTGTGCTTTAGCAACAACTCCAATTGGTGCTAATTTCATTTCTGCTTCTACTCCTTCAGCAACAGCAATTGCAAGTGTTCCATTTAATACAACATTAACTGCACTAGTTTCAGCACTAACAGTAATATGTGACTCTTCACTAACTTTTACAATTGCATTAGAAACCATTAATTTCTTCTCTTCTTTAATTTGGTCTGAAACAACAGCATTAGAACTTGTATTTTCTTCTTGCTCTTTCTTTATTTCTTCTATGATAGTTTCTGCTTGTTTCTTTTTACCTAATTGTAAACCTCCTTTAGAATGTCCAGTTTTAACACTCTTTTTAACTGGTTTCTTTTCTAATATTGGAGATGG